ATGGGCCAACGAAGTGACTGATATCGTAATCGCGTCGAAAGAGGCCGAGGGAGGGAGAGACCTTAGGTGAGGCGCGACGTTACGCGGGGGAAAGTAATCCAGCCATGCCGTCGCGTCGGGTCGCGAAACGATTAAAGCCCGAACCGGTCGCGGGGACAAACGGAAATTGAGATGGCAAAAGACGGAGAACGAGGGAAACGAGACGACGAGCCCTCCGAGGTACAACGGAACAAGCAACGAGACAAAGGCGAGGATCAGAGTACAAAGGATCGCCTTTCCTCCGCGATTATTCAACCATGCCGACGGCTTGTGTGCGGGACGAGAGAGGAAGAAAAAGAAAGAGAGTGAAAGAGAGAGGAAGAGAGAGAAACAACGAGTGCGCGTATGAGAGGGAGGGAGAGAGCGAGAGCGGGAGCGTAGAGTGAAACTCCGGAATACCGATCGACAGCCGGATCCGTTTTCCATAGCGTAGCCCCGGATCATACGTCATCCCGTCGAAAAGGGCGAATCGTTGCCACGCAACCGTAATTTTGATCGTATCGCAACGTCGATCCGTAACGTCAGTCGATGGGGCCCAGCTAGCCCCCTGCCCCCTCTGCTCCCATCCCTACCGCACGATAAAGACCAATAACTGAACGCGACAAGGTTCGATTCCGCGCCCCTATCAACCCCCGCCGCCTCTGCCCTCTCTGTGCACATCCACCCTCACCGCGTGCTACGAACTTCCGGAACTTTAGTCCTCGTCACTATCGATATTTATACTGAAATTGCTTTTGACGGCGACAAGTATGAGCTCTATCGCGCCCCGTCGCGACGAGGAATCTCTCCTCTTGATAAGTATCAATTAGCTAACGTAAGGACGGTCTTTGATCTAATAACTCTCGCCGACGGTACGAGTTTTCTCTTTCCCTGAGGAGCATGGCTTCTTTGTTCGATGTTTTTGTTCCGTTCACGTCGCGTGTCACGGCGCCTATGTACTTACGTTCTTACTCGCGACACACTCTTGTGGCGTTCTGTTTTTCGCTTTCGGTTCGGTTGCGTTCATTTGGATGTTATTTGGAATTTATGTGATCACGGTTAGGTAATCGATATAGTTATATTTAAAAGATTCTAATGTACCAGGGACTGTGTTTTCAGTTTTGATTCAGTTTTAATATTTCTGCGATAACGGCCACACAATCGATACGGTTATGTTTACAACATCCTAATGAACCGGGGATTATTTTTTCAGTTTTGGTTTGGTTTTGGAATTTCTGCCATAGCGGCTACGCAATCAGCACGGTCATGTTTACAAAATTGTAATGAACCGAGGATTATTTTTTCACTTTTGGTTCGGTTGTATCGAATTGTATAAGATTTGGAATCTGTACGTGAATAAATAGGCAACCGATATGGTTATATTTAACACTGTTAAATATGTCTACTGAAGGTATCGAAAGACTTTGTTTAACATTTTGACTTATAATTATTTTTGAAGTTTCATCAATTTTTTTTGATCGATTGTTTGACTTCTTCTAAAATGATTATAAAATTAAGTAAAAAATATATGTTTTTATTCGATTATATTACAATTTAATAGATTTTATTAAATTACGTTTTGGTAAAAACTGGTATGTATAAAAGAGTGGTAAAGATAATTTTAAGACGTTTTGATGAATCAGAGACTGCGTTTTGGAAATTATTTCACGAAAATCTATGTATTGTGTGTATAAAGTAGTAGTTGAAAATGAAACGAAACATAAATTGCGAAATATTGTTTGATTTTGTTAATCCAAGTGTTACTGCAATGTTTCGAATTGATTGCATAATAAAGTAAATTTTAATCGAATGGAAACTTGGACAATGTTCAAACTTCCTAACATCAGAAGTACTAGAGAAATCAAAAAATGTAATAATCATAAATTAAAGGCAATAACATATAACTTTTTGGTTTACAATTTTTAGGACTCTATAAAATTTGGTTTATATCCGTAATTACAAGAAAAATAACTCGAAATATCATTAAACGTTGTCTCATCATCTTTACCAGATATTAAGGAGACCGAAAAGAAATCAATTATTTTTAGTCTCAACAGATGCTTTTACTATTTCATTCAAATTTTTTAATATTAATCCAAAACGTAGGTTTGTAGAACGCATCACTAAATGGAAAACTGTCTTAAAAGAAGAAGAGTAATATTTTTAATCAACATTCAAAAATTCATATGAAATAATAAAGCTTCCTGTTGAAATGAAAAATAATTCATTTTTTTTCAGGCCCCCTAATATTACAAAACAATTACTTAGTATTTGTTACTTCTGGGGTTAATGACCTCTTTAAAATCGTATTGATATCGTTATCACACAACAAGACTAAATTTTACGTCATACAGCCATAATCTTAACAGTGGTAAGAGTCAGAGAATAAAAAGAAAACCAGTGTCCAACCAATAAGAGACTACAAAATCGCGTCCACTTTTCTCTATGATTACGGCTTCACTCCGAAATGGTACGATTATAGATTTGGAAACGGATTTATTCGTTTCATTATTCAATAATCGATCGCTGGGAAGATGAATGTAGGGCATCGGTTGCCGAACTGTTAAGAGACATCATTTCATCCCCTACCGCGGAAAACTACGTCAGTATACGATTAATCGGTACAAATTCCGATCCCTACCGGATGAAACGTGACAGATACGGAGCAATTAATTCCTTCCTATCACGGATTCGATCATAATACGTTTATTTACTTCGACGACCGATACACTGCGCGGACAATGATGTGTCGTATGGCAAAGTGTCCCTTCTATATCGATTAATGCTTTCGTAATAGACGAATTCCGCTACAAAGTTGAATGCTCGACGAAGTCATTGTCGAAGACTGATAACGAAGCCCTCCGACGTGATCATTTTTTGCGTATTCCACACTACGAGCAACGTATCTTACGAAGGAAGTTATCGAACCCGAAAATCCAAGAAATAATGAAACTTTATATGCAAGAAGAGCAAGTCAAGTCTAATGCATTGCAATATTTTTCGTATCGAATTGCACTTTGAAGGGCTGAAACCATCCCTTGGATTATCTTGAGAACGGTGGATAGCGAAAAAAAAGTTAAACAAAAAATACATTGTTCTTTCACATCTATAAAATTGTAAAATAACAGTTTTTAAGAAGTTCAAGTGTTTCAAAATTCTGAAAATTTAAACAATTTTTTTAAATTTTATTTTGCAATTTTACAGATATGAAAAAACAATGTGTTTTCCGTTTAAACTTTTTTCACGATAATCTACAAGAAAGAAAAAATAGCAACATATTACGCTTGACTTAGTCTACTTAAACAAGAAGTTTCATAATTTCTAAATTTTCCGGGTTCGATAATTTCCCTTGTAAGTACTTACACTTGAGCACGAAGTTTACAGCTACGCTACTAAAAGTTTAATTTCTCATATCTCTCCGGGTGCTAATATTTGATTGGTTCTGTAACTATTTTAAATTTCTGATTATATTATGTTTCAATAGCTTTATTCGGTTTTGTGTTAACATAAGATGGATTGAAGTGAAATTTGTTATTTATTAAAATGAAATTGTAAAAAGACAACTATTCATTATGGAATATAACATTTGAAGGTCTGAATGAACTTTTAAACTTCTACTTGGAAATTTATAAAAAATAAGTCAATTCCATTGGTTCATCTGCTGCTACTATGTATTTTGGTATTGTCACATTTATTCTAGAAAGTGTTAAATTCTTTAATCTTTTTATCAGATTTCAAATGAAACAAACCTCTCGTTAAACACGATAAGAGTTTTTACGACGCTCACTTCAAGATAATCCACAAATCCACAAGGTCTCAAGTTCATAAAATGTGCTGTATCATGATTATTTGTAGTTTCTAATTTGACATGAAATTGTAAGTTCTTATCAGGTATATCGTAAATTATACGAAATAAAAATGGAAATCCAATTAAACAAAAAATATATGTACAATTTGATCGAAATTAGACATGAACTGATGTTAAATCACTCCTAAATTTATGAGTCAACAAATATAAACAGAAATACAACTTTTTTTAATGAAACTGACCCGAATAACATAGGAGCGTTGAAACGAGGACTATGACGTATCGCAGCGAGGAGAACATCGCTTTGAACCTTTGAAACTATCCCAAAATTCAATCAACAAAATCGTTTGAAAATTATACTTTACACTGTAATAATTTTATGGAAATGAAATTGACTCGTTAACGAATGCGTGGATCGCGTATATCTCGGGAACACGGGTCGAGCAACGACGGGCTTGCAACAACGCCGTATCGATTTTTAGAGCAATTTGCATCGGTGTTAATTTCCAGACGATTTATTTCGAAACTCAACAACGATACACCTGCCTGAAATAATGTCGGAAATGGGAGCAGCGTTTTCATTATTCCTGCCTGTTCGAGCCTTAACAAAAAATCATTGATGAAAAAACTTTTCCATCGACACGCCGGATGAAAAATTTCTCCTAGTCAGGATGTCCTAGAAATCGAAGAAGGAAAATATATAAATGGAAGGTAAAAGTCGAACGAAGAGTAGAAAAGATGGCGGAAGTACTCGATCGGAAACATTTTCAAAAGAGTGAAAAAGAATAAAGAAAATTCATTGAACATATCAATTAGTATTAAATGAACTGATTACCCGGATAAGAGATCCACGAAATCGAACTCGCAATTTCGAAACACGAAGTGAATTGAAGACAGCAATGAGTTCCAAACGATTGGAATCCAATCAGAACTATACTCGAATCGACAATGAATCTCGATCGCTGGTTATTTCACTTTTTATACCCGACACATTTTATACCGACCTTTCTACGGCTTTCTACACCAAAGGAATGCAAAATAAATTGGAAATTACGCTTCCGGACGAAATCCCCGGGAATCGTTTGTACCGCAATCCGCATAAATTGAATGCA